GGAAAATGATAGATGTTGGAGGGGCTGTGGGAAAGCAAGCACACTATTGTATTATTGGAGAAGTTGTGAAATTTATCTATCTATTCTTGAAAGCAATTTGGAGATATGCCCCAAAAGTTATTAAACTGTGTCCTATACCTTTTAATCCAATTATACCATTACTAGGGAAATACCCTCGAAAAGATAAAAGAAAGAGGAAAAGAATAGTTTAAAAATTCATTATAGCAACTCTTTTTGTACATCTAAAATCTGAAACTAATGGCTGTCTTGATCTTGGGAATGGCTAAACAAATTACAGTAATATGAACATAATAGAAAATTAATGTAATAAGAAATGATAAATTTGACAGTTTCAAAGGGAACTGGGAAGATCTCTATGAATTGGTGCAGTGTAAAGTAAGCACAACTAGGTGAACAAGTTATATAATACCAACATTGTTGAGAAAAATAAATGAAAGATTTTATAATTCAGGTCGGTCAAATAGCAAAACATGAATCCAAAGGATTGAAGTTGAAATTTGCCATTGATCTGCTAAAGAGGTGATGAACTGGTAAAACAAACAAACAAATAAAAATATATTTTCAGGCTGGCCAATGAGGGGCTTTTTTTGTTGTTAGACTGCACTTGCTTATATTGAGGCTTTTGTTTTTATTTTGTTTTGTTTTGTGTTTTTTTTTATTTAATTTTATTTGGTTCACTGGGGAAGGCAGTGGGAAGGGCAGATTACAAGTACAATAAAATAAATATTTTTTTTTAAAAAAAGAAAGCACATCAAATAGCTCTTTCATCTCATAGAATCTTTCTCCAAAGATATCAAAATGCCATTTGGACTTGGTAAGTGCAAAATTCTTAATTAAAATATAGTAACTAATAAATACTTATTGACTGAAACTGAAGGCATTAAGCTCAAATCTGAAGGTCATATTGAACTAACAGATGAAGGCAATATCTACAGATATTTTGGTCTCCTCAAAGCAAGATACATCAAGCATAAAGATATCAAAAGAGGGTAATGACTGACTTACTGGCATCCTAAAATAAAAACTGATACCTATACAATACCAGAATTAATTATGGTTTCAAAATTTAAAAATAGATCAAAATAGATTTGGAAAGTAATTGAACAAAAAAGTAAATAAAATAGTAATGGAAAAAATTGGTCAATCACATTAAGTCAGCAATAGAAAGATTAATACTTTCTCACCAAGAAGGAGAAAGATTGAGAGACATTCTTAGAGCACTTGATAAATAGGTCAAACAAACAAACAAACAAAAAAATCTACAGAAACACTTTTGAGATAAACATGAATCACCAGTGGGCAATAGGGAAGATTGATAACAAGCACACACCATTGGATTTGTCATATATAACTGGAAGTAAGTTATCTCCAAATACAGTCTATGGAATGGCTAAAATCCAAGAATGGAATCAAAATGCCCTTCATGGGTAACATCCATGTGAACTCAACTAAAACACATCAAGAAAGAACAAATTATTAAGTCATATATATTTGTTTGAATGGATGAGTTTGGATGGGGGTTCAGAGCTAGGTTATAGCCACTAGAAATTATAGGAGCTTTATCTTTAAGGTTACTCGATAGTGATCAGTGTAGATTATGCATTAGGGTATTCTCCAACAAGAAGTTCTGCTGAAGGATTCATTTACTTAAAGAAAGACTGAAAAAAAGGTCTCTGTTTCAGAGATGCAGTGATCTCTGTCTGAACCCAGCAACCAGAATCCCCTTATTTGTCCTTATATGTGTTTTATAACACCGGAGTGCTTAAACATTTTTGGTTATTTAATTGCTTTTAACTCATGTCTGACTCTTCCTGTCTCCATTCGGGGTTTTCTTGGCAAAGATACTGGAGTGGTTTGCCATTTCCTTCTCCAGCTCATTTTACAGATGAGGAAACTGAGGCAAGCAGGGTTAAGTGACTTGCCCAGGGTCACACAGTAAGTCTCTAAGATCAGGTTTGAACTTAGGAAGATGAATCTTCCTGACTTCAGGCCCAGTGCTCTACCATTATGCTACCTACCCATTCTTCTTAAACATTGGGTAACAGCTACTATATAGGACCCAGATGTTAAACTGACTCCTAAAGAAATCAGTTTCATTTAAAAAGTACTACTCTGACCTGAGTAGAGACTTCTACCCAGGAGCGTGCTGGAGCTAGCTGGAACTGGCCTCTGAGAGCCAATTATTTTATTTTCAGTGTGAGCTTTTACACCTCAAAAATGGGCAAATGCTACAACTCAGGGCTTGGTTTATTGTTTTGTTGATATTCTAGACTTAAGGAAATTGATGGAGAAAATGTTAATAATAAAGATTAAACTTAAACATATGTTGAACAAACAGGGTTTTTTTTTATCAGAGAGCTGGTTGTTAAACATTTAGCAGCACAACATTGCTTCTATACAGATAAACCCATGATATTGGGACTTCTCCATCTAGCAGACTTGCTAGTTAGTGGGATGTTAGTGGGGCTCCTACCTGCTATGAAAGAATAATTTACCTTTTATATTGTCTTAATAAAAATATTTTTTGATGTAAATAAGAGATCAGTTATGTGGAAACAGAATTAAGTGCATGTCATCTCTGTTATCCTGTCTATCAGACCAATACCTGGGAGTTTTCAGTAAACTTACATTTCCTACACACACACACACACACACACACACACACACACACACACACACACA